AAAAAATCTCCTGAACTTAACATTTTGTCCGGTACTGTTCATGGGTTACTGTTGAGGGTTACTGTTCACACACGGTTACTGTTCACTGGGTACTATTTCTGCAATTTTTCTCTAAATTTTCCTAAGTCCGAAATCACTCTGAAACACTCCCGAGCCCTCGGGGCTCCTAACCAAACATATGCACTAACTCAACAACATCCAACGAACTTAACCGTGCAATCCACAAATATATCAATTTCAACTGTTTGAGAAATTGTTGCAATTCGATACAAATTAATGATTTGACTTATGTAAATTTTTAGTTATATTTTCTATCTTATTTCTTTAAAAGTTAATCAAATTACGTATTTTAGTTAAAACAACTACGAATTAATGTAATTTACATTAATATCTATACCTTCTAGTTTGTAATCTTTTTCTTCTTAATTTTTCAACTGCAAAAAGAAGATATGAGGTCTTTCATGATCTCTCTATGCCTTACTCGCTAGTTTTTCATTTATTGGCTTTGTACGTTTCTATAATTTGTCTCTTTATCTTTAGCAAAAAATAAATAGACATCTATTTCATTTCTTCCTTGTAGGTTTTTTATTTATAGATTATACGAAATGTCTACCCATAAATACTAAACATAATTTCTAACCACGTGAATATCGTGAACCTTTAGGTGAAAAAAAAATGTGACTGGCGTTGGACCATGACATTGGATAACAAAAGAATAATGCAAAATGAGCCATCACAAAAGTTGAGGTAAGGCTCAACAAAAGCAAGGAATGAGCGGTGATTCAAGCTAGTATCAGTGTCACAAGTGATACTTGTCTCCAAAGAAGAATACATATATATATAGAGAGAATTAAATACATCAGGTACTCACTGAGTCTCACTGAACAAAATGTAGGGTCAACGAGGCCTAATATAGACGAAAAAATATGCTTTAGGTTAACCATAAATAATATTTGCATTCATAGGTAACGACTACACATCAGACGAACAACAGTTGCAGGAGAGCATCAAGTATTTTAATTATCTACATAAACATTTAATTTTTTTTATTTTGTTTGAGATAATTTAAATTTTAAAGGGGTATAGATAATTGCAATACTTAACATGCGAATTTTCTTTATTTTCATCATAGCAGGCGTTCTACGTTCAAATAGTATTTTCAAAGGCGGGTGTGTGAGGCGAGCCATTTTACTACGGGACGATGTGTAAGACCCATATATCTTTAATTTTTTAAATTTAAAAATTACGCATAAATAGAAAGTCTATTAAAGTTTAAGAAATTTAAAAAGAAAATATCATAAAAAAAATCTAGTATGTTTTTAATGTTAAAGTTGCAGTGAGATACAACTATAACGTCTTAATTTTCAAACCATTAAATTTTTTTAATTTCTTTAAAAATATATAAAGATATATTTTACCTCCCTAAAAGTCAAGAAAGTTCATCAATACTATAATTTAAAAGATTACTCCTTCATGTATATATAAAATTACTTTTAAAGAGCAAAATAATAAAAGCCTCATAGTTTAAGACATGAAGACCAATAACAATAAGATACAAATTTTGATTATCTAATTTAGAAGAATAAGTCTAATTATATTCACACTCACAATGTTCTCAATCAGTAAATATACAATTATATGACTCGATATTTGATTTATTCTTGAATAAAACTTTAACCATTACTTTGTTAAAGAATTTTAAGCACCAATAGTCTTAATTAGAGAATTTGACACATGATTTAAGTAGGATTTATTGGACTAATCCTGACCATTAAGCGTTATGTGTATTTTGGGCGCATAGTCGGACACTTTGGGGCATAAGCCCACAAAGCTAAGCTCCACACGTGAGCTTCAAGGCTTTTTGAATAGTGCCCTATCCAGGGACGGAGAATTTCGAAGGAGTCCCAAAAGAGTATTTTAAACTCTATATATATTAAATAAATAATTTAATAATTAGAACTTTGTTACTTTTATCTAATTTAAGAGTTGTAATACTTTTGAATTTAAGATGAACTTGTGATGGTTTTTGTAAATTTTTTTATATTTTAGTTTGTCGTTGTTTTGGATTTTTTGTTTTGTCCTTACTTTCTTTATTATTTCTTGTTTAGTAGATAAATGAACTGTGTTTAAGTAAGTTTTACCAAACATATTATTTCTATTTTCCAAATATGCTTCTATTTAAATCTATATCTATCTATTTATCTATAATAATAATAATAATAATAATAATAATAATAATAATAATAATAATAATAATAATAATAATAATAATAATAATAATAATAAAAGATGAAGACCCTTAGCAAAATGTCGTTCGACTGTTTTACCCTTAAAATATATCTTGGATAAAATTGTAAACTCAAAAAACTTTCCTACTATTTAAGAGTTCGATCAAATAAATTTTGTCCAAATATAATTCTATGATTGAATTAAAGATAACTTCAAATCAGAATCGTATTAGGCTATGATTAGAAGTCTGATTTAGTTCATATACTAGCTATATTTGAAGTCAAAGTCACAATATATGGCTTAATTAAGCGATCTTTACCGATACTTGCTGGGAAAAACAGTTCTGTAGCTCAAAATGTGGAATTGCAGCAAATTGAATTCTCTTGTAAATGTAATACAACAACAACAATAACAGCCCAGTATAATCCCACAAGTGGCGTCTGGGGAGGGTAATATATACGCAGACCTTACCCCGAGGGGCAAAAAGGCTGTTTCTAGGAGACCCTCGGCTCAATACAGCGACAAGAGACGATATATTAGTATTATCAATAGACTCATAATAAAATAATATAAAATAACATAACATAACATAAAATAAAAATAATAACAATATAAGAAATATAGGAAGTACGAAAAAGATGGGAGATATAATAATATCCAGCAGATAAAGCCCTGCATCAGTAGCTGACCAGTAGCATCCTAAGACTAACTCCTAACTCGCTAGTCTCACTCTAGTGTGCTGTAGAAATACTCACAACTTCCCCCTAGCCTACAACTTTAATGCTCTACCTCCACAATTCCCTATCAAGGGCCATGTCCTCAATAATCCTAAGTCGCGCCATGTCCTGCCTGATCGCCTCTCCCCAATACTTCTTAGGTCTCCCTCTACATCTCCTCGTGCCCACCACAGTCAGTCGTTTACACCTCCTCACCGGTGCCTCAGTGCTCCTCCAGTGAATGTGCCCGAACCATCTGAGTCTTGCTTCCCACTCTTGTCCTCCATGGGGGCCACACCCACCTTCTCTCGAATATCTTCATTCCTAATCTTATCCATTCTTGTATGCCCGCACATCCACCTCAACATCCTCATCTCTGCTACTTTCATCTTCTGGATGTGTGAGTTCTTAACCAGTCAACACTCGGTCCTATACAACATGGCAGACCAAACCACTGCTCTATAAAACTTACCTTTTAGTAATATTGGCACTTTCTTGTCACACAGGACTCCCGACGCTAACCTCCACTTCATCCACCCCACCCCTATACGATGTGTGACATCCTCGTCGATCTCCTCTATCCCATGAATAACTGAACCAAGGTACTTGAAACTACTCCTCTTAGGAATGGCTTGAGAGTCAAGCCTTACTTCCACTCCCGCTTCCGTCGGCTCGGCCCCAAATATGATGAGTTAGTGCATCCATCATCAGGAAAGGACTGAATGCAGACCCTTGGTGTAACCCTGTAACAACCAGAAAGTGCTCGGAGTCGCCTCTTACTGTCCTAACCCGAGTCTTAGTTCCATCATACATGTCTTTAATCATCCTAATGTAGGCCGCCGGGACCCCTTTAACCTCTAAGCAGCTCCATAAGACCTCCCTAGGAACCCTATCGTACGCTTTCTCTAGATCAATAAACACCATGTGAAGATCCTTCTTCTTATCCCTGTATTGTTCCACCATCCTCTTGTAAATGTAATAATGAAAACTAAATTGAGGAAAAAGTAAAGAAACCACTTCACTATTTTCCTTTTCATTTCCTTCGTTTTTTTCCCTCGTTTTTTAGCTCAACTACTCAGATAACTTCTCTTTATTCCCGCCATTGTTCCCCTCCATATTCCCACCTTCCCCTCGACCCCTGTTCTCCCATTTTCTGCGTAAGAAACTTCCACTTTCATAGCTATATATTCACCATATAGTGCCTCTTGGAGAGATGAAATTCCTGGTGAGCATTAGGTCAATTCTCTCTTTTCTTTTTGTATTTTAATTCTTTTAAGTTTGTTCATTTTAGTTTCATCAATATGATTGTTGGACACACATTTGTGCGTTATAATTAGGATTTAGATATGTAGTTTATTTCCCTACTTAGCTTTACCAAAATCGTGACATTGTGTAGTTTATTGATTCTCTGTGGTCCTCTTTGCCAATTATTTGGGTTTGACTGTTTGTAGAGTATATTGTGCTTAGTTTATTTATTTTGTTTTATTTGGAGTTAAAAAAAACATATCTTTTGAGGCTCTAGATTGGGTTTGTTGGATAGTTGCGGGACAATTTTTTGTATCATCTTATGTCTGATGTTTAGTTCCTCTTCATATTTGATTCACCTCTCTCTATTTTTCTTATGAATACGCAGCCATGTTGAAGATTAAACATTTTCGGAATCCACTAAAGTCAGCTCGTGAACCACATGATGCTCATGGACATTTTTCATCATCGACAACTCCAGTCTAATCACATGCTATAAAGCCTTCAACAACAGTACAAGCCCTCCCACATGCTCATGAATTCCCGCAATAAGAACAAGCTCCAATTCTTCCTTCTAATTCAAGTGCAACATCTCGCCGTGCAGGACGTGAATCTACAAAGTATTGGACAGCAGAGGCAAAAGGTATATGCCTTACATTTATTTTTACTTCAATTTATGAGAATCTTATTTTTTTCTTCCTTTTTAGTTAAGTATCTTATTTTCTTGTTAAAGACTCGGAAAATGCTACCAAGCAAATTAGGGTCAAGGTCAATCAAATTAATAACCTAACTGTTGGGGAGTGCATCATTATGAATTTCGATGACTACAATGCAGCATATGGTGAAGCGCAAGGATTACTTGCTGGATATTGTGGATCACTGGCAATTGATTGTAATTTGTTTCCGATTAGTTTTGAGAAGTGGTCAGGGCCATCGGGCATGCCTAAGAAGTACATGGAAGACTGCTTTGAAACAATATTGAAGGTACAAGTGTTATTACATATACATATGTACTTATTGCACCTAGATTTTTATACCATGAAAAAACTAACTTCCATTTTTGTTTGAAGCCTCGATTTGATTTTCATGTAAGTGATTCCATTGCATATAGCTATCACAATGCTAGTCTTTCGAAGAAGTGGGATACACCTAGGCAGAAGTTGTGGAATGAATATTTTGACCTAGCCAAAAGCAAAAATAAAATTATAAGTGATGTGCCAGCAGGTATAAGTAAAGATCAATGGGCTATTTTTGTTGCTTATCGTCAAAAATCATCAACAATGGTAAGATTTAGATTATTTTAACAAGTTTCATCATAATTAAATGAAGATAATTTTTTAAATATGTATTTGTTTTTGTTGATAGGAACTTTGTAGAAGAAATAAAGAAATTCGAAAGAAGCAAAAAATGCCACACACTGGTGGTTCAAAAGCTAACTCGAGAAGATGATATGAGCTTGTATGCACATTATCTTATTAAGTTTACTTTTTCTCTAATTAAAATATTTTATTATAACTTTTTTAATACATTTCTTTTTTAGTTTTTGGAAACTGAAAAAACTCCTAGTCGTGGAAAAATGTTTATTGAAACTCATAAGAAAGCTAATCGATCATTTGTAAATGATACGGCAAGGTCTATAGGGGTAAGTCTAGCTTTGATACATTTTTCTAATATCATTTTCATTGTTTTGTATAACATTCTGCAACTCTTGTACTTACTAATTGATATTTTATCTGCTTGTAGGAACAAATTGAATTGAATATGACTCAATGTGATACTAATGAGTGTGAAGTTTCCCCAAATGATGTTATTGGCAAGATGTTAGGGGAAGAGCACTCTGGGAGAGTACGATGTATGGGTATGAGAGCATCTCCTTCGAACACATTCAGGAATACGAAAGGACGACTTAGTGATCCGAGTGTTTCTTCATCTAGCAATGGTACATCATCTGCAATGTATACCCATTTGCAACAAAAGCTTATGCGTGTGGAATCCCAACTAGAGGCACCTTAAATGTGCTGAAGGCTTACGTGATGTCAAAGGAAGGTGTGGTTCCTGAAAAATTTGCTGGTTTGTTTGCTCTTCAACCACAGGTAAGAAGTAATATAATCTGTACTTCTTCTGTTACAACAACTTCTGATGAGTTTAATTGCATTGTGCTTCTATGTGATAACAAAATAATGTTAGTACAATATACAGTTCAATATCATCTAATTCTAGTAAAACTTGTTGCTAACTTTTCTAAAGATGGAGGTGGTGGCAAGGAATTCCCATGTCCTGGCAGAAGCTAAAGGCTTTGATTTGGTTAGGATAAGGGCTACATTTGATTCAATCTTGTTTCCCGATCTTGTTTGGAATTAATCTATATAACTTTCTTGCCGAATAACATTTTTATTGTTTCAGCCTGATGATGCAGAGAATGAACCTACTTCACCAGTTGATGTAAGAGGATCATCGGCGGATAACAACGCAAATCACCAATCAAATACTTAATGTTTTCGTTGTGGACTACTTTTGCTAGGTTTTCTAGACTTGTGTTTATATTGCTTTAGTTAATGCTTAATGTTTTCGTTATGGACTACTTTTGCTTTCTAGGAATTTAAATTTGTAATGGTTGTCTAGACTTGTGTTCATTTTACTTTAGCTAATGCTTAATGTTTTTGTTGCTATCTAGACTTGTGTTTATATTGCTTTAGGAATTTATATTGCTTTATTGCTCTCTTGAGTATTGGGAATAAAATCACCAAGAGTTCCCTCTCCAGGAAATAATGGTGTCATATCTAAAAGAACAATATCACTAACATCTATAATAATTACACCAGTTGATACAGAAGCCCCAAAAACAGCAGTTTCATCAGGTGTGATTTATGTGCCACAATCACAATAAACATTATGCAAAGCATGGTCGAACAAATAAGGTAATGGTGATTGAACTGTAAAAGATGGAGTTGATATAAGCTCTTGGCTGAAGAATTTCAGTTCAGAAGCCAAACAAAAACCATTGTACTCCAACTAGCCTTATCCCAGTGACAAAAGGCATGTAGAAGTTCCCTTTGACCATGAATGGAATAATTCCCAGCACCAAGTTCACTACAGAAACTTTTAATACCATATGGTTCAGCAGCCTCTTCAAGAACTTGCTTTAGTAAGGCATTCTCATCTTCCCTTAGATCAGTTTTCTTATTTTCATGTTCAACAGTTGTATCATTCACATTTTCAATCACTGCTATATCTCAGAAGTTAACTGCTTTTCCCCATTTTCTTGCTTTAGTCCTTCCCATTTTCCTCACATTTTCAGTACTTCAATTTCTGACTTTTGCTATTATGGATACTCGGTAGAGTGAAGGGATCGAACCTCCTTTATCGAAAAATTACACAATATAAAAGAGTGAAAACGGTCTTATTTTTGTAATATGTGCACTGTTATGAAAAAAATCAAATGTAGTTGTGAAGGAGGTTCAAAATTGTTTTAGGCCTTAGGTTCAAAATCCAACTATGACGTTATAGATTTTTTTGTATCTCGTTGTATAAATTTATGGTTCTGCCACTGTTCACGAGCTTAAACTATAGTGAAATTCTAATAATGAAATTGTTATGGAGATATTCAAAGATGAACAGTAGCGTTGGATAAAGCTGGTACAAGTGAAGTATAGGGAGCTGGCATTCTAGTGCACAATCAGTAAGTTCCATGTATGGTGTAGGATCTGCAATTGCATAAGGAATCATTGACATGATTTCTAAGAAACAGTACAAATAAAAAGTGGTAAATTGGGAAAAGATTAAAATTTGGAATGACTTGGTCTGCGCACACCGCTCTAAGAAACAGAATCCTGAGATCTTTGCTCTTACTGCAAGTCACTATTCTACAATGTAAATCTGGTTACAAATGGAGTTTAAGCCTCAAACAAAGTTGTTCTGATTGAGATATCAATAGTGTTGCAAAACTGTTGAAAGGAGTTTATTGTTTGGGAGCCTGCTGGGAAAGGAGACTCTTTTCCGGCAGGTCATGCTATAAGAAATTGTTAGTGGAAAATTTAGTGTTTCAAAAGTGGGCATTGAAGCTCATACATGGCCCAAAAGGTCCATACAATGTGTTTGACTTTTGCTGGATTACAATTTTGCTACTACAACCTCAGTTTTATTCTCATGAGGTCAATATGAAGCATTCCTTATTCCTTTTCTTGTGTAAATCTTGATGGTGCTTGCTCAATGGTACTTGGAGTTTCATAGTTATATGTACACATATTTGCAAAGAACTATGATCTTTTGTATTAGTTTATACCTGATGTTGGATACTGATTCTTTTACCTCTTGTGCGTACTTTTTTTTTGGAAGAATGGACTTTTGGTTTCACATACCATCTTTATATGATTCCTGAGTTGTATCCTTGAGTAACTTTGAGTTTTAATGTGTTGATTGATGAGAATGTATAAAAACAAAGTATTTATTGCTAGTTTTCCTGGAAGTTGACCATTTTTACTCAAATGCATATCTAATTTAGGACTTCCAGACTCTGAAATGTTTGTCCCTTTGGTGTCACATTGAATTGGCAAAAGCAGTTTGCTAAACATTTTGTGCATAGTTTCTTCATGTTAGATATTCATTTCTATATAAAACTTTCTGCAGGGTCCTCCTGGTACTGGCAAAATCACTATATATAGGCTATTGATCATGAGCTTTTGGGACAAAACTATAAAGAGGCCGTTTTGGAGCTAATGCATCAGATGATAGGTATATTGAGCGTTTGATTCAAAGTATATGTGCCCTGGTCTGATTTGCATGTAAGAGATCCTTGGACGCCTTATGACTGTGGTTGCAGCAGAAAAGGTACTAGCAATCTTAATCCTCTACACACATGCCATTTTCTTCTAGTGTTCCCCTTGCTGCTCCGAAATGGTTTCTTTTGATCCTTATGTTAAATCAACATTTTTGACTGTACAGTGAGTCAGGGAGCATGTTATTATACCTTAATCTGTTGCCACACAATGAACCTCCTAGTTGCTCTGTAAATTTCATGCCTTTTTTTGCTAGTTAATTTGGTTATGAGCTAACCAATATTATGAGCTAAATGGTAGGAACTTTAATTTTCTGTATCTTTCAGCCTCACAAGGCGTTGTGAAAGTTTCATCTAATCACTTCAATATGCAGTCCATTTTGTTTTTACCAAATGTTATATGAGCTTTCAATCTGCTCTCACTGTTGTTTTCTCCCTATTGTGTTACATAAGAAATTATCACTAATGCTTTTGTGTTCAAACCGTGTACCTAACATGCGTGTAACGACCCGACTTGTCGTTTTAAGAATTTAATGCCCCGTTCAGTGACTTAAGGTCTCGAGCAGCTTCGTAATATGTATTGTGACTCGCATGTATGGTCGAGTTTAGTTTTTGGAAGATTCGGAATTTAATTTAAAGAAATATTTTCATTTTGAAGCTTAAATTGAAAGAGTTGACCGGAGAGTTGACTTTTAAGCAAATGACCTCGGAATGGAGATTTGATGATGTCAATTGCTTCGTATGGTGATTTCGGACTTAGGAGTATGTTCAGATTTGGATTTAGAAGTCCGCAGGACAATTCGACGCATTTTGGCGAAAGTTGGAAAATAAGAGATTTTGGAAACCGAAGGTTGAAATTTTGATAACGAGGTCAGATTATGATTCCGGAAATTGGAACAGCTCCATTACGTCATTTATGACTCGCGTGCAAAATTTGAAGTCATTCCTATTTGATTCGATATGTTTCGACGCAAAATATAGAAGTTGGAAGATTTGAAAACTCATAATTCGATTCATGGCGCGATTCAAAAATTTAGTGTTGTTTAACGTGGTTTAAGGCCTCGACTAATTCGTATGGTATTTTGTGACATGTTGGTATATTTGCTAAAGGTCCCAAGGGTCTCGGGTGAATTTTGGAAGGTTAACGGATTTGATTTTGAACATTTGGAGATGCTGGAAATTTTGGGCAGCTGATGCAATCGCTTCTGTGATGTTGTGGACGCAGCAGCGACAATGCGTGTGTTAACTGAACTTTCTAGGTTAACTGCGGTGTTAAATCTCCAGCAGATATATCCATGGATATCAACAGATTGATTCAGACACTCAATATGTCAACAACTGCATTTAGGGATGGTGTTAAATTGACACTTGAAGTTGAACTTGCTTCAACATCATTGTTGCTTGTCACTTGCTCTTTACCAGAATGTCATCTTTGGGTTGTATACTGAGGTTCATTGGATCTCCTGAAGGGATAGTTGTTGCAAACCTAGAGTTATGCATCTTTTGGGGAAAGCAACAAATATCTCTTGCATTAAATAATTTACAAGCAACACACAGTGAATTTGGTTTTGTCAACCAAGAGTGTTTTCAAGGTTGTAAGGCTCACATATATCTTTCATGTAATTATTCATCTTTAGACAGCCCCCCCCCTCCAATGAGGCCATTCTCTTTTGCTAAATGCTAGTATTAGTATGATCTAATTTATTTAAGCACTGTTTTAACAAAATTATAATTATCATCGTATCTGTTTATGGCGAAAATCATATCTTATTTAGTACGCTATTACATCTTCACTTTATTATTTGCATATGATTTACATATTGTTAACTTATCAATTAAAGTTACTATGAGACAAAATTCAACTTTAACGTCTTATCTTTCAAACGATTAAAAGAACATAATATTTTTTAAAAATATTATCAAAATTACACGGTTTACCTCTCTAAAAATTAATAATCAATAAACTCCATTGTTTACCGTGAAAATGGTAACAACAATTAAATTTGTAAATGAGATTCTAAAAATATGTGATCTATTCTCGAGCTAGTTGTTTAGAGCAGTTGATGCTAAGAATATGAAATTTAATTATGAAATGCAATCTAGGAATGGGGCAATAAATAAACCTAAAGGCTTACTGTCCGGGCGTGTTTTACCGTGGGGATACGAGCTAAACGGGGGATTGGACGAACCGAGAAACATGCTGCCCGGGTGCAAGGCTGGTCGATGGGGGACTTCAGGG